TCAAAATGTGTGCCCTTTTGTGGCAAACCGAGTGTGGCCTCATCACACTTGCTATTCACCCCGACCCCTCGCTTTCAATGGGCTTATCCGACTTGGGCCTCCAATCCTTTCATTGTCTCGTAGATCTGTTCACAGAGTTGTGGCAACAACATACGAATTCCAGTGGCTGTCGAGCGAGGACGGGTATGCTTTTGTGCTCTGGTCTGTTTGCACTGCGGCAATCCGGGGCCGGGTCGAACCGGTACTTTCTACCAACTTGGCGTCATTGGTGCGTGCACGTGTATGTGTGTGCGTGCATGCATACATTCGACTGGCTGCCACTGAAGAATCTCATCACACAATGAAATGGGTTGCCGATGTGCTGTTGAAGGGACCAGTGACGTGCAAGGTATTCGGCAACACTTCCGTTGGCAAACGCTGCAACCAATCGGCCAGAAAGACGAACATTTCATTCCAACCGCCTTTATTGCTCTTGCCTGAGTCTGGTGAAGAGTCGGTGTGCCGTGCCAACTTTGCGTTTACAAGAAGACCCGCTTCCGTTTGAGGTGAGCCAGTTTGACTGAACAGGACAGGAGGCACGCTCAAAGGCCCCGGCAACACTTGTCGCAAAGTCAGATGATCCCTGAGTTCTAAGAACAACATTTGCGTTGCCATTACATTCTCCGACCTCTCCCACATGTTGACAGGCAGATACGTATTCTTTATTCCTGTAGATACGAAAAGATACTGGGTTTCGATGACTCTCCTGAGATAACATCGTTAGCACTCAATCTCTTCTGCTGCCGACCTTATGTCTTGCGTTTTCCCGAAATAACAAGTTTGCAATTGCATAAATCAGCACTTTGGGCACCCTATTCATACATTTGTGCTCTAACCGTTGTGCCTAAACTGAGAGTATACTCTCTTGATGGAATATTTTTCAAAAGAGGGTGATTGCGAAATTGAATATGTGTTTGTTTGTCCTCTCTTTATTTACTTCACTCCAGCAGGTCTAGCCTTTAGCGGTCTACATCAGGTATGAGGACTTACAGGTTTTATTTGCGGGACGCCCTTGACCGCCATTTTTAGGTGAATAGACTAATTTTGTTTAATTGAGCTTTTCCTCTTTTGTACACTTTATATTCGAGAATGGCAAAGCAAATACAACCTGATTGGGTCCCAGTTTAGCTAGTTCGGTAGAGCACGAACTGTTTTTCCAGAAAAAAGGAGGTACTAACATGCATAGCATGTTGGTACAGGCTGTCGGGGCTCTGCAGTACCACAACTTTCAGGGAAGATGTGTTGACATCTCCGATCTTCATGGCCTCAAAATTCGTATTTTTCTACCTTCCAAAAGTGAGTTGTTCATCAGACACAACTGTAGATTCAGCCTGAATTCCTCAAGGGACACGAACATGCGACTGCCGGGTTCAAAGGAAGCATGTACAACTGGCGTCTAGACATTCATTGCACTCTCCTACAATAGTACAAATGAACTTTAGGATGCAATTACTTTTCTTTTAGCATTGCCTCCAAGGAGTGCTTTGCATCGCAATTTGACCGGACTGCAGGTTGGACCTTCAGTTGGTTTTATCATCACACCATCGGGACTCGAAACCGGATCGTGTCAGTCACAGGGCAGATGCGACTTCCAGCGCAAGCCAGGCTGCTTTAAATTACATTGATAGCGGGAGTCTGGTTGAGGCAAACACGTTTTGTCAAGATACTCGAGGAGGTCACTTTTATTCTTGCAAAGTAGGCCTTTCTCCTATCAATAGAACCGAAATTACTAAGAATCTGAAGTAAGCCTATAAGAAGGGAGACTGCAGGCCCGTCCGGTGTAGCGCGATGAGGTACACGCCTTTGTTGGACCGAAACATACAGACACGAACATGCTGGAATCCAACCTCAGAAATTGTTCGTAAGAATAGTTTGTGCCGGCCAGAATACCAGACAGAACGTGTCCTCACGCAATGAGCGGCAACACAAAGATTCATTTGTATTGCAGTGAGAAAGCAATCTGGTTCTACCAGCCGCCTCGTAGAAAGTTCCAACTAAAGCCAGTTTTCTCAGAGTGGGCTCCGGAAGGCGCCAGCCCACCCATTGCCCGTTCCTTAAGTCCGAGTGTGTCGAATCGCCCGAAACAGTGGGGATCAAGAGGCACATTGAAAGCTCCCTCCTAGACGCTTAGTCAAGTGCAATTTTGTGGAAGCCTGAGTTTTCAATTAAACTTTTCAACAGAATTTGCTACTCAAATCAACTCATTCTGAAGTCTTGCTCGTGGTCCATTGCATGCTAGTTGGGGCCGAAGGCGTAGCAACCCTATTACAACGGCATTTCTAAATAATAAGCAGCACACAATGTCCAGATATTGTAAAATCCTTGCTACATAATTGAATTAAGACAAGCTCTGCATGCCATACAAGTCGGAGATGTCGTGTAAGCCAATATTGGTTGGCAACGTGTTTGTCCCCAGACCGTACGAGCTGGGTTCGACGTCAGCTGAAGATGTTGACATGCTTTAGGCGGGATCAAGCAACACTCCAACTCGGAGTAGTGCACAATCTTCAGCTCGCTTCAGGTCATCCTTAGTCTTCATCATGAGAAAGAATCAAAATTGTCTGTATTTCTTGGGTGAAGGCTCCGAAATGATAATTTGGTTTTTTCTACGATTATATTTTGAGCGGCAAGTCTGAGTGGAATTCAATGCCAACTTGAGGCTCAGTGATAGCGCCAATGGTAAGAATTTCACTATCAACCATCAACTCACTTTACGTGGGCCACGGTGACTAAGTTCTCCATCAGTTATTATTTGTTCGCTGTCAAGATGCAATCCAGTTCTACCCTCCTCCGGGTGTGGGTCAGACAACAGCTGTACTGGTTAAGGGTAAACCAGCAATGAAGGTACGGCGAACTTGCAAACGAGGTATCAGCTTTCGGCCGATTGTTAATCCAGAAAATTCTGGTTGAAGTTGACTTATATGAGATTTAGTCACCCTATTTAGTCTAAGGTGACGAAGGACTGGCAGTAGAATTTTCCCACAATGATACTCTGTTTATATACGAAAAATAAGTAATGTAGTCGATTACTATAGTAAAAATACGTTTGCTTATAGAAAATCCCACCAAAGAATGTGATATTCGAAGAGGCCTGACCTTTCTTGAAATTCACATCTGATCTGTAACCGAAGGGCACTCGTGGAAATGTAACGTATTGGTTAACGTGTCGAGATTACACACTGCACTTTCATGGTTCGACTCCGGCTGGGGGTGCTGATAAGACCTAAGCGAGGTCGAAACTGCGGTCTGCCCTGGATGAGAACAACTTTTGGGAAAACAAGGCTATGTGAAGTTCAATGGAAACTTCAGCTTTACTTATATCATTGTCGGAAAATTAATTTACATCTCCTTA